TATGGTGGTTTTCATATCTTTGTAGTCGTTTTGTGTCTCTTTGTAGTTGTTCTACATCTCTTTGTCAATGTTTTGCATCACTTTATAATCGTTTTGCACTTTGTGGGAGTTTTGTGTCTTTTGGTTCACGGTGTCAGCGTGGCTGATGTTCAGGGATGCTACTGCAGAAGGAACGAGCTCGTTCCATCCATGTGTTCTGTGTACGTTACACATTATCTGACGGACGTCTGTGCCGAGCTGAAGATGCTCGTGAGGGAGGAATTCAAATGAACGAAGCTTACGTTAACATCAGGTGTCGATGCAAAGGCACCGTGTCGCCAATCATCATATATGTGCACGTTTCCTCCGTGGAGCTGCTTCATGTCGCTCTGACATCATCACGAGGAAGTGACTTCCCTCTGACCTAGAGGTGACATGGTTGCCGTGGTGACAGCTTGCATCAAGTAAAGTAAAAGAGAAAGAAGAAAATAACCACTTCCTGTCTCTCCTCTTTCATCCTACAGAGGTACAGGAGCAGAGAGTCACTTCCCAGCATTCCACATCCTGATATGAACTCTCTGTAAAACAACCAGTGCTCTCTCTCTGTCTCTGTCTCTCTCTCTCTGTCTCTCTCTCTGTCTCTGTCTCTCTCTCGCTCTCTGTCTCTCTCTGTCTCTGTCTCTCTCTCTCTCTCTCTCTCTGTCTCTCTCTGTCTCTGTCTCTCTCTGTCTCTCTCTCTCTCTATCTGTCTCTGTCTCTCTCTCTCTGTCTGTCTCTCTGTCTCTGTCTCTCTCTCTCTGTCTGTCTCTCTCTCTGTCTCTCTCTGTCTCTGTCTCTGTCTGTCTCTCTCTCTGTCTCTCTCTCTGTCTCTGTCTCTCTCTCTCTCTGTCTCTGTCTCTCTCTCTCTCTCTTTCTCTCGAAAAATAACAACAGTATTCTTTATCAGATTTCAGAATAAGCCTTGATATTTGTAAGTAGCCTCGTTGTCTACATTCCACTGATGCGGAGCGATTAGTTTTGATTGTGGTGTCATTAAAGATGATGAATTGTTCAGTGTTTGGAGGGTTGTTGAGGAAACGGAGCGAGTTTTTCTGATTTAATGTTCCCTTATTTCCTGTGAGTCGGAGGCAATGGGCTCAATTCAGTTTTTTAATATCTCCTGTTTTTAGGGCATTTATAAACTAATTGGTCATTTTTAATACAAAACATAATAATCGTAAAAATCAATTTATTATTTTACTTTTAAATTCACAGGAGCACAGCCACAACTTTCCTTCACGCTTTCTGCAAAATACGTGACTGCGTCTCTTTTAGCTCACGCTCGACAAGCATCGACCCGTCTTTATTCTTTAATAGATGTGAGCAGTTATTATTGCTGCTCACATCTACTTCGTCTTCTTTACTTTATTCTAAAATGTTTGAAGTCGTCACATGACGTGTGAGTAAAGCTCGTCTTAGGTCATTTAAGTTCGTGCGTAACTTGTGCAGCATGATTCATGGGTGAAAAAGTGACGAGTCACCACATTACACTCAAACTGACTGTGATGTCACTTCAAGTGTGCACATGCAGCTTCTGAATGGCGATGCAACGTCTGGAGCTTCGTCATCGATTGCATCACTTCCCTCTCGTTCTGTTGAATTTGATTAAACCTCATCCAGCTCCGTTCATTACTGAGACGTTCTGCTTGCCTCTCTGGTCGGTGGGTCACACTCACGGTCCTCTTAGTCCATGTTGCTCCCCTCCGGCTCTGTTAGATCTAATCAAGAAAAACCCTTCAATCAAACACTTCCTGTCTGGACTCCTATTGGTCTCTGCATCGCGATCAAACTACATTCTCTCTCTCTCTCGCTCTCTTTCTCTCTCTCTCTCTCTTGTCTCCAGCTGAACTGAGTTGTTTCGGGAAGTCGACGTGATGTACACAGCGTGCACTTACTCATCATTTCCCATCATTTTCGCAGAAGCTGTAATCATTTAAAGACAATAAATCATGTTGGAAGACAGTCAGGGTGGCATTTAAATAAGCATTTATTATGCACTTCATCTGAACGACTGCAGCTCAAAGGTGTGTGCGTGTGCGTGTGTGTGTGTGTGTGTGTGTGTGTGTGAGAGTGAAAAGAGGTGCGCGGTGGCGTGAGATGAATTCAGACACAGGTGTTCAGCCTCACAGCCAAGGTAGATGTTCCCCGGCTCAGCACCTGGTCCTGCTAGGTAGATTAGCGGTACCACGATCAACATCGTTGGGGTTCCTTGGATGTGGGCCGAGCCCCCCGGGGGGGGGGGCACTGTGTGCTTTGGCAACAAGTCAACCGCCGTCCTCTCAGCAGATACACAAGCACCTTGAACAGATTTACACACCTCCTCTTACCGAACCCCTAAAACGTATCCAAAGTGCTCCACTCCAGTGCCACAAGCATGTACAGCCTGTTGTCTGTCACCATTGCCTTGTGTCTCTGATGGTGTAAATGCTCAGCGATCAGTTGTAGCTTTGTTTTGTAAAGATGCCTTTCTCCTCTGCGGGTGTCTGGAAAGATAAGACCCACATCTGAGTCTTCACGCTCCGCTCCGTCAAAGAGTTTACCTCAAACTTCAGGTTCAGACGCTTCACATTCCCCGAGAGGGCAACTCAAAACAAAGACTCGCCGTGCTAGGATTGATATGGTCTGTGGGAAGGAAAAGGAACACGAATATCAGAGATTAAAGCCTCGACATAGTCCAGCTGTACGGTCTACGTTGTCTAACCGTGCTGACATCGATGTATTCCTCACCATAAATAATGTGCCAAATAAAATGAAGCAGTCTTGCAGGTCAGATTTCAGTGACGCAGCTTCCCTTACATCCATAGACTGTATAAGAAGAGGACGTAGCCATCTTGTTTTTTTCACAGCCAGTGAACAGGAAGTGACCATATCTGGACTGAGGAGGAGTGACGTAGAGACGCCGTATACGTCTCTGGTAGAGACCTGTCAATCACTGTGTAGCCCCGCCCTAAAGCGTCCCCTGCTTTATGGTCTGTGTGACTCTAAATGGACCATAATTTACTTAGAGAACCGGAGGTTGCCGCCTGCTTACATCCCATCAATGTACAGAGCGTTAGAGGCAGTGAGAGACCTTTAAAGCTCTTATCTTCAGTACTCGTACTAATCATATATATGTGTGTCTGTGTGTGCTTTCATCCCAAAGTAGAGCTGCATGGTATGTGAGATCATACGTTGTATAATCTTGAAGTGAGAGCTTTAGATGAGTTTCCGGGGTTTGGCGGTGGCCCCGTGGTGGCAGGAGTCATGCAAAGCCTTTTAAATCTCGACTAAGCATCACCGTTGGAGAGCCTGATGATTCTAGCTGAGAGCAAGACTGAGTCACTGAAGGACTAACGTGTCCTCATTTGTCCGTATGTCCTCCAGTGTATTGCTGTAGTTAATCATTTTGCTTTAAAGCAGTTATATCTTCGCTCTACAGACTCTTTTAAGCTGAAATATGCATGCGCATGTTGGCAACTGAAGTGCCATTTTTGCCGCAGACATCCAGACGAGTTAGCAAGATTTAAACTTTGAATTAAAACGATTACCAGCAACAAAATGTCTGTCTGGCTGTTGCATGTTTTTTTGTCAGAATCGATATTCCAACAGCGGAGTCCAGTTCTACAGAACTCAGACTGGATCAGGACCGATTCAGAGCAACGGGAGTTTCAGTTTGACGAGTGACCGTGTTACCTGGAGACCTTAAGCCGAATGCGTGCGTGGTTGCTCGAGGTAACTTGTGTCAGAGGTTGGTGTAGATAATAAACACAGATGAGTGTGTTATTAAAATGGATTGAAGACTTTTAGGAGGACGTCTACATATTCTGTTGAAATGTTACTAATAGTTTAGCTTAGCCTTGATGCTAATAGACTAAACTAGTAGATAGATGAAGAGGTGGCCCACTGCTGGGCTTATTTTCTGTCACCAGTGTAGCATGAAAGCATGGTGTCATTTATCTGGCGATGGCAGCGTGCTTTCCTACGCTGTGAAAAACAGTGTGTGGATGAAGCATTAAGCTGTTAGATTGTATTAGTTAGCCAGCTACCTTGCTAATTCCACCATGCTTTATGCTACGCTGGTTATAGAATATGAGCCCAACAGTGGGCTGAGTATCCGGTCCCTTTGCCTCACTTCTTAATGCTAGGAGAGCAGTTTGCCAGGAGGAGAGCAGGCGGGAGTGAAGGAGACTAGCTAGCTCACTAGCTAGCTCTGGAGACCAGCTAACTAGCCATCCGTCATTTCCAGAGCTCCCGTCTACCCTTACAATACACAACAGCTACATTGCTGTATGAAAAAAGATCTTACGTAAGTTTTCTGATTTGCAGGCCTGATGGTGGAGTCACCAGAGTCCTTCATTATGAGCCTTTCACAGTTAGCTTTTCTCTCTTGCACAACGGAGCTGACCTTCTTGTTAACAGAAGGCTGCATTCCTGAGCAGCTCCAGGGGGAAGTGCAGGTGCCAGTCGACCTACTTTGCCAACGTCTCTGTAAACTTCTCCGTCATCCTCTTGTCTTCTCTTCGCGGTCTCTCCGTCCTCTCGCTTTCTCCTCCGTTCACTTTCACATTATTCTGCTCTTGTTCCCTCCACAGAGCTTTCTCCCCTTTTATCTCATGCTCTGTCATTTGGGGGTTTATTTCACAGCAGGCCTTTGCTTCCCTACGCACTTCTTTAGAAACGGAGGGAACATTAGCTTTTGATTAGACAGCCTGCATTTTCTGCTGGAATAATGGAGCTCTTGTCCTCTCGCTGCCATGCGTTTACCTTGATAATTGTTTTCAGCGCACACCCAGCTGAGAACATTACCCGCAAAAAAGACGTTGCATGTTTACAGGCCACTTTTTTTCGCAGATGCAAATGTTTTCTTGCATGTGTAGCTCTCCTCTCAGAAACGTGGGATGTTTCTGATTTTATGTAAATCTTTTGTGCAACCTGTCGCACTACAGTGAGCTATCTTCCTCTGTTACATCACGCTTAGTACGAGTGTGTGTTTGTGTTGTCAGGTTGTGCGAACCCCGAGGAGCTGACCACGGAGCGAGCCCATTCCGCTGTGGGCGAGATGTTCAAGACCCTCCGAGGTCTGAGCCACACCAGGGACCACCTGAAGCAGCTGCGCTCCATCTACATGGCCAGCGACGGAGTTCACCAGGTGTGAGACGCACAAACACACACCGTCAACATCCAAACACACACACACACACACGCACCGTGTGTTGCAAGGTGGTTCACTTCTAGTGGACGAATCTCACGCATCACGACTGTCGCAAGCACGTCGAATGCGAACCAAAATCGCCGAACTCAAGGCTTCAGACCGCAGTCCACAAAACAACGAGTACGTCCACTTCTGATATACAGTCTATGGTGCTCACATGGTTCATTCGTTGCCCCCCCCCCCCCCCCTCATTGTTCCTCACACACAGCTGCTTTCCCACCGGTCTTGTTTGCCTATTCTTGTTGTTACTGTGGTGAGAACTCGGCAAAGACTCAGCAGAGCACCTGTGTCCTTGGTTGCCTTTGTCCGTCTCGAGTTTGCGTCACACGGCTCGCACAGATCACTGAGAGTCTGTTTCTTGGAGCTTATGTAACTCAGAAGATCAGAAATGTGTGTCTGCGGTGGCTCTTACCTTTTCTTCAGGACTGTCGACCACCGTCACTCAGATTTGCTGCTTTTTTTTCAGAGAGTTATGGGTCAGCAACATAAAGGTTAGTCCATGAAAGTTCACGATACTGTTTTGTTCTTTGTGGATCCTCATTATTTTCTTACGTGGACATGAAAATAACTAGCGATGAGCTTGAACAGAAGCTTTGCAGCAGCAGGGACGTGTCAGTCCTTCTCTCTTTACATTCTGTTGATTGAGGCTTTTATTTTTCCAGCTCTTATAGAAGCAAATTGTCCAATTACAAAGCCGGCTGGAGCTCTAGAGCTCAGCAGGACAGTGAGATGAAATGTGTGAGATATAATGAGAAAATGTCCTCCATGAGGATGGAGTTAGAGTTAGATGAGAAGGTTGATGCCACTCTGCATAAAGAGGAGAGTGGCATCCATCTTCTCATCTAACGCTTGTCAGGAAAGTGAATAAGCTCATTCCCAAAATGTCAAACTATTCCTTTAACTCTGTTGAGATCCTAACTGCAGACTGAGTTCATCAAAGTTACTTTTCTATGCAGCCTCAGAAGGAAAAGTATAATCTGAGTCGTGTTCCTCTCAAATCGTCAAAACGTTCTAATGTCACCGGTCTGTGCAGCAACGTTCTCCGAAGGTTTCTGTGTGGAGGAAAAGAATAAGAGAAGTCACCAAACGTTCTTAATGCTGAAAGAAGAATCACACTTGATCATAAATCAGAAGGGCGTGGCCTATTGTTTGTTATTATCGTAGGTAACGCCCCCTAAACACTTTATAAAGGCCGGTGTGGGGCTGTGTGCAAATACTACCAAAAAAAGAAAAAGGCTGGAAGAAGAAGGAGTTCAGTGAATTTGAGTTTCTGTTAAATAAACGTAAACAAATGTTATTTTACAGCTGATTTGTCAACAGGTTCCACGGAATTCTATTAGGTCAATTAAAAGCAAAATTATTAAGTTATGTAAATTATTTTGTATCGTAACACAATGAATTTGACTGAAAAAAATAACTTCTGATCAACAAGAGATATTTAAGCTGAACCAAACTAAGACAATGATGTTACATGGACTTAAAAAATATATATTTACATGTTACTTATTTTGAATTTGTCTTTTCAACATAAATCTTAGTAGTAAAATGATCAATTAATTACAACATTATGTTTTCATCCTGTTTATTTTGTACTTGTTGGTTCAACTTGATTCTTCCACACAAATGAATTTGTTAAACCCAACATACATACGTTTCCTTTATTCACCAACATTTAGTAATCACCTTATCTTGGTAAGAGTGCTCTCAACCACTCGTAACATTTCCTCTCACCTAAGAGAAGAGCAAAGGTAAGAAAAACCTTGATGTATCCCAAAAATCAATGGGTACGAACACAAGTAAGGTGCAAATTAGCTCTCATATCGCTTC